AAATGGACATTTATCCATGGCAGTTAACTGTAAGAGAATTATTACATAATTCACATAATATACACTAACCTGAGTTTACATTCACCTTCAATAATAATTCCAACTACACACACTAAATGTTAACTGTATTGTGACTAGAAATGGGGTTACAAATTATTGTTCTTTTAACTGGAAGTTTGGAAACTCGGTGGGAGGAATGAGGGAGGCTGCTTTGCACTAAATATCAGATGGGAGAATTCCCATGCTGCATTATGGTGATAAACCAGTTACAGCTCACAAGGGCTGCAGAGACAGAAAGGACAGAAAAGGTGCAAAGATCCAGAGGAACAGACAGGGAAATACATGATAGGTGTCTTGAGCAGCTTTAATCCTCCACTGCTGGGCACTGACTGCCACCACCACAGCGTGGGTGGCACTGCTGGGCGCTGACTGCCACCACCCCAGTGTGGGTGCCACTGCTGGGTGCTGACTGCCACCACCCCAGTGTGGGTGGCACTGCTGGGTGCTGACTGCCACCACGGCAGCATCCCTCGGAGCAGCAGCAGCAGCTGGGTGCCCGCAGCAGGACCAGAGCTCCTGGCTGTGCCAGGGCAGGGCAGTGCCCCTCATGCTGCACTGACGGGCACAGGGCTGGTGCCCAGGTGACCCTGGCATGCCCATGGGGACGTGCCAGCTGCCAGCCCCGTGGTGTCACCTGCAAACCCAACCGGTGCGCTCTGAAACATTTCAGTGTTTGATTCTTCCTCTTGACAGGGAGCAGGGCTCCACTGAAAGCTCATTTAATAAAAATAATGCAATGCAAATGAACCTGAATCAGAAAAATTAGATTGATGGAAGTAGCTCGGTCGCTGTAATTACACAAGGTATATTATTTCTTAAATTCTCTTTGCATTAAACATATACCATACATTTATCAAACATAATTAGCAGTTTAGGTGACAAGGATTTGATTTTTCTCCTGCAACAAAAAATCCTTCTACATGGGTATATACGTCTGAAACGTAATAGGAACATTTTCACACTATCATTGTTTGCTCCTCAAAGAGGGTAAAATCAAACAATCAGAGGGCAAATACTGTGTGGGACTTACAAAGCAGAAGATGAGGAAGATGGCCAGGTCAGCTTTCTGTGGATTTCATGAGCATAAAACAAAATTAAATCAGGCCCAGCTTTTAAGGCTGTTAGTCAAATAAATCATATTTGAAATCAAAATAATTGATGATACCCCAGATTTCCCTTATAATCAACCTTTACTTTTTTCAATCATCTAAATAAATTGCAAGAGAAACAGAAGATGCAGAAGAAAGTTGAAAAATTGAATTTCCAACACAACTAAGATAACCAAGCTTTTCCCTCTCTTCAGTGTTTGTTGGGGGTTTTGGACTAATGGGGGGCTCTGTTTAGGTTTTGGGTAGTCTGGGGTATTTTTTAAACAGTTTCACAGAAAATAACTGTATCAAAATAATGGCAGAAAGCACTTTCATTTTTTTCTCTTCAAATCCCCATGGACTACGTGGGGACCTCAAGTCAAAAACCTTCACTTTAGAACAATAAATAAATAAACCCACTAAACCCTTCCCAAGGCTGGTCAACTGTAGCATAAGTAATGCAAGAGGCTGAGAGATGCCAGATAAATTTGATTACTATAAAAGATGGGAATATGTTTCTTTCCTCAGAGAATTCACAAAAAGGGGTCAAAAACAAAGCAGCACTGAAAGCCAACAACTTCATTTTGCCAGCAACTCAAGGCGAAAATACAATACAATTCCACAGGAAGGTTTTATCACATCGGTGCAGACACCTCCTAATCTTCTATTTCTGAGAAAGGAAAACAGCAAAGACAGAGTCCAGGCAAAATGGGGCTCTTCTTTCTTTTCTGGAAAAGGCACTCTGATTAGTATATCAAATTAGCAAAGAGTTCAAGAACTGTTTTCCTCTTTCACCTGCTACCAGTGTCATAGAGGCTCTAACACATTTCAGTTGGGAAAAAAAAAGAAGTAATCTTACACTTCTTGTTATTCTTCCAATTTGCCAGATTTCCAAATCATTTATCTCAAATGCATTCAGGAACATCATCAGGAGAAATGACCCATCGTCCTTTCCTTGTTAAAGGAAACCAAAGTCCTGACTCAGTGTTAATTGTTCCAGCCCTGAGTAATGGTGAGATGCAGAGATCCCCCTGCATTGTTCCCCGACCAAGAGACAGTCCTGAGTTCACATTTTTCCTCTGTAAACAGATGAGCTCCTGCCAGCTGCTGCTACCACAGCACCAGTATTTTGCAAAGCTCCCTGGAATTACTTTTTCCTTCGCGTGTCTGAGAGTGGCACTTGATTTTTTCACATCGTGTCCGTGGCACAGTCTTGCCACAGGCAGCCCCTGGCCCCTCCTCCTGAGAAAACACTGCCTTTCCAGCCAGCAGGAAAGCCATTCTTACTGCATCTATTCAATTCCACCTCATTTTCATCACTCTTCAAAGTCATCCACTTCTTCCTACTTAACATCTCAAACTCCTGGTCCATCAACAGCATCTCCTAGCACTGGTTCTTCAGCCCAGTTCCAGTAAACCACAGGTGACTTATACAGAAGAGTTACAAAGAATATGTGTAAAAGAAGGTTGATCTTTGAAGAACAAGTAACTTCCAGACAGCCTGATAAATTCACTTTAGGCACACAAACTTCTTGCACAACACTTCTTACAAATAATCTGCTGCAAAGTGCATTTTCCATGGGCTGACAGCACCAGTTGCTCTGCAGCACTCAAGAACAGCTTGCAGCATTTTTTCGTGGGTATATTTTTCAGAGACTAAGATCCACACTCAAATTCGGTCAAAACCTGTTCAGATTCAGTATTAAATGCTTTGCAGTAATCAAGCAGAGTCCTTTACTGTGTCAACAATTTCAGTAAAAAAAAAATTACTATCTGGTTTATTCATGCTATTGCTTCTTATTTTATCATGGTCTATTACATAATTGCCCTGCAAATATCACATAAATCCTTATTTCCTTTTTTCCATGGTATATGCATGCCAAACCCCTCCATTTCAAGTACAGCAAAGTCTAATTTACATTTGTAATACCACTACAAAATACTACATACAGCAAATGATCATAAAGGTAACATCTTCATTTCCAGCTCCAAGGCCAGAAGCTGTCCATGGCCTGGAACGAGGAGCTGTTTCCTCAGAAGAACTAACCATGAAACACCTTTGCAAACACCAAAAAAACAAAACCCACAAAAAAGAGAAAAAAACACCAAAGCAGGCTTTATGAAAGCGTTTTCAATTTCTTCAGACATTGTTTTCCCCGTTCTAAAGAACCTGATGGCACAATATAAAAACTATTTCTCTTCCACTATTGTTTTCAATAATAATGCAAAAAATCCTGACCACCAGCAATTTAAAAATACAACAAGATTCTCAGATAAGAGACTTAAATATGCAAAGCCTATATAGAAAGGGTGCTGAAAGGGCACTTCTGGAACATCTATAAAACTAAAATGCAAAAGTGTACACAGTTACCTGCGCACACATTCCTTAGACTCTCAAAACTCCATTTGCAGACTGGCACAGATGTATCAAACTCAATTGCTAGGAAATACAGATGTTTGACTAGCCAGGATAATGCTGCTTTGGATCCTTGTGTGTCTGATAGAACTGAAACCACCTTGCTTTTCCCTACAGGAGCCACATCATGAATGCAGGAGGACAGTTTGGGTGACTAAGCTGGAAACAGAATGTTCTGTCTCACTGCTGCCCTGGAGCTCCTGCTGTGTCTCAGCCATGCAAATCCATCCTTCCCCAAAACCCTGCACTCCTGCTCCTACTCCACTCCAGCTCCTAAAGCCACTATACCTCTCTAACAAACCACTGGGCTCCTGATCCTTCAACTTTTAAAATTCTCACTTTAGGACAGTTCAAAGCATCCTCACACCCACATGGCATTCTCTAAAGTAGTGCTGCTCAGGCTCAGAAACCACACAAACCCAGAAAACTGCCTTAGGATATTTATTGATGCACCATCTTGAAAGATTTTTCTAATGAATTTTGTTGCTGTGAAAGACTTCTGCCTTTCAAAAGCAGAAGAGTTGTATAAAAAAATTAAAAGTTGGCATTTCTGAAATACTATTAGAAAAACTTGAACAACCTGGTCTAGGGGAAGGTGTTCCCATGGCAGGGGGTGGAAGAAGATGATTTTTTGAGGTTCCTCCCAACCCAAACCACCCTGTGAGTCTCTGCAATAGCCTCTGCAGCAGCGATTTCACAGACATCAATGGCTCTGCTCGCCCTGTGCATCAGACAGGAATTTTTCATTTCATACATCATTTAAAACTTACTGCAGTGATCCCACAAACCTGTCTACAAGCACCTTCTTGGTTCCCAGCCCCCTCCAATTCAGGGTATTTTGGCCAAAAGTGAGCACGCAAGTAGACTATCGTAACACTGACAAGAGAGAAGCACAGCAACACTTAGCACTGGATAATGAAGAGAAAGAATAGTGCTGCATCTTGTATTTGAATACATCAAAATAAAATTACAACAACTACATCATCAGCAAACTTGCCCAGACATCCCATAGCAAGGAACTAGCATTAGTACACAGGCCTTTCAGTACTTTTAAACACAGATTTGCATTTATATCACATTTTCAGAAATCCCTCTCCCAGGATAGTGTGAGAGTGTGGACAAAACCTTCTCTTCCCAAAACCACTTGTTCAGACCTCCATAGTCTGGAGCCATTCACACAGATATCACTGACTGCTGCAGCTGCCCAGATAAAATTATACATTTTTTATTTCTGGAATAGGCCTTCAATGCTCAAACATAGAGATAAGTTCTGAAAATACAGAATTCCATAATCTACATGCAAAGACTTCAACTCACACTGTGGCCACAATTCACAACTCTCCAGACTGAGCTGAAAATCACACAGCTTTCACCTAAAAGTCATTGAAACAAAGCTAAAACTCAGCATGGAAATCCACAGCTAGAGTTTTACTCACCATTTATGAAGGACTTCTGGACTACAGCAACTAACACAGGACACTCACTGCCTGGGCGTTAATTCAGTAATTCCTCTTCTCGTTCAGGATAAATCCAGAAAGTAGCTGGCACAAAGAAATGGAAAGCACACCTTTAGCTGGGGTTGAATATGAACAAACAGAATTTTGTCTTGTCCACATGACTAACAAAAAATCTTCCAAAACATCGTTCTTTTCAGTCAACACCAGAACATTTCTGTAAGCACTAGGAAAAAAATTTTAATTTAAAGTAAATTAAAAGACAAGGTACAATGATTACCTGAAAATTTCTAATACTTTTAACATGATGGAACACATGTGAGTTTCAAAATGGGGTAAGTCATAGCACTCAAATGTTCTCGAGTCGGGAGAATTTTTGTGTGTAGCACAGCGAGGGAACACAAGGAATGCTACAAAATCTAAGACCACTCAGTGACAGTTTCTGGCAAGCTCCCCAAATGACTTGTCCCCAGCAGCCACCCACACAGTGAAGGATTCTGCCAAGCACGACTAAGCACAGAGGGGTCTCTCGCTGCATGGGCAGGCAGCGTGCACGTGTGCCAGGCTGTGCCCCAGCTCAGGATGCAGAGCACCAAGCCAGCGCCAGGGCAGAGCCCCGGGCAGATCTGGGCCACCTCCAGCCCCTGTGTGGCCAGCAGGGATGGGGCCCAGCAGGGACAGCCACGGCTCACACTCCCTGGCACGGCTGCCACAGGCTCTCCTGCGCCCGCCAGCCTTACACAGCACAAAGGAAAGATCCATAGCTCTAAACTGTTCCACTTCATCATGAACTTCTCAACTCACCAATCAATACAGTATTGAGCAATAAACAACAAGCCAGAAATATTCTGGAACAGAAAAACCAAGCCCACTCTTATTCAGAATTGTGAGTTGTTCAGCTCACACGTTTTCCAACATAAGTTGGGGAAATAAAAATCTCATTAAAGCTTTAGCCAAAATTTCTAATTCATCAAAGGACCATGTTTTGAATACCAATGAATTTCATGAAAAAGAAGCACTTTTTTTTTTCCTTGTCTGCATGTCTGTAAAATCTCTCTCAGGTTACAAAATCAAATCTGATGACACTGAAAAGTCTTTCAGGAACAAAGACAGACAAGTAAAACAACCACCAGATCTCTTTAATTCCATGCAAAAGTGTCAACAGCAAAATCACTGCATCTCTGCCATAGCAGAATATTAAATAGTTCATTAATATCCATTTTCCCTTCTTCTCTTTTCAGAGGCTACTAAAATTGTTTCTGTTTGATTTTACATGAGTGAAACTCCTCCCAAATGAAACAGGTACAAGGATCTTGAAAGAACACTCAAGTGCACATCACTCAAGCCCTTGGCAGGCCCTATCTCTGAGAAACAACAATAGCATCCCACTAATAACAATGACTTGCTTAACTATTCATTTTGGTAAATAATGGAACTGAAAATTATCTGGTGATGGATTTACACCTTTACAATGCATCTCGGGATGAACATGAATAGGGACAGAGAAATTATGTGTGCTACAAAGGCTGATGCCACAACTCCAGATCCCACCTCGCTCCACAGAACAACCAGCTGGAAAATGTGGCGCTGCAGTTTGCAGCACCCTGCCTTTGTCTGGTTCTGTGAGACATCCTATATATATTATTGGTATTACAAAAGCACTTACAGATGCCAATTAAAACCCAAACACAGCTGTAGTAGGCAGGAATAGTATGAAAACTACAATAGTGTCATAGCCATTTAAATTCCAACCAAAATAAATCACCCATTCCTCAGATACTCCTTCTTTTATCAGTTACCACAGAATTTAGCATATGAGGATTTCTATTTGAGGGAGCACTAACAGAATGGCCTAGGCAGCCTTTTTTTATGTGAAAATCATTAATAATTTCCAGTGGAAGTCCAGAGGGACAAAGCCTGGTGACACGAGGCTCGCTCTCCATCACCTTCCTTGAGAAGCCCATGGAACTGCAAGACCATGTGGACCATCAGGTGAAAAATCAGAATATTTGGAGGCAGGAAGCTGACAAAGGCAACAACTTTTCTGGAAGCAATGGGAAACACTAAGTTTCTCTTTAAAAAGTTAAAGATTACTTTATGTTTAAGTAACAAACAGCAAGTGTTTACCTGTGACTATTAGTTCTCTCCTAGGGAGTTTATTATAAACAGTATTTCAAACACAGGACTTTAAGAGACAATGTATAAATATTTTAAATGGTAAAATATAGGTGCTGGCTTTTTTTTGTACTATGTCCAGAAAATTTGCACAAACACATCAAATTCTCCACCTAGGGAATTTACTTTATTGTTAAGTTTGCATTTAAAACAAATGTACATGACCTATTTTGGGGCTAATATAACTAAAAGAAGCCTATTTGTTGTTTATTATTTATAGAAGATTCACTTCAGATTAGGCCTTTTGCGGACGTGTGTATCTGTGTGGCATCACAGAGCATCTCCAGATCTCCCCAGCACTAAAACACACACGAGGAAATGACAAGTTAGGATGTATCCAGTACACAGAGTGTTTTATAAAAGGCAAGATTAAAAGCTGGTTTTTCCCTCCTCAAAAAGGGCAGATGAAAGAGCTGCTACCCTGGGTAATGCATTGACCTTCTGGGGCTGATAATGACAAGTTCAAGTTCCTGGAGTTGGGGAAGATGTGGAACTAAAGTAAGTGCACTCAAGCAACGAGTCCATCTGCTCTGTTAGAATCCCACTCACAAACCAGCCCCATGCAAAGAAAGAGGAAAACAGTTTAATTTTTTATTTATATAACCCCAGAGCTTTTCTACACCATCAGCATGGCTCAGAACTGCTTTCTTAGAGGCTTCAATCTAAGGCACTGATTATTTCTTTCCTTTTTAATAGAAAACTTGAAATTATTTCATATAAAAGGTGTCAAATTTATGAAAATAGAGATTCAAAATTGCTGCTCATGTCTAAAATTTTGCATTTTCAGCTTTTTCTTGTAAACACAGAAAGAGTAAAACATAGTAAAATCATATCTATTCTGCAAGAGATAAAACAGCTTTTTTAAAACTTCTAGAAAATCAGAAACGCATTTTTATACAACAGCTAAGAAAATCCAGAGTTGACCCAAATGACTGATCTAGCAGTCATTAGTTTTGTACAAGTTTGTGGGCCACAGTGCCTGGAGGTCTTCGGGGGCAGCTAAACCCCCCCAGGATGCTGCAGGCAGGACGGAGGAGCAGCCCCGGGACCTCCACAGTTGGCACGGTGCAGCGCAGGAGGTACGCCTGCTACCCACTCACGGCTGCGTGGTAGCACATTCTGCATTTTCAAATATTTATATTTCAGCTACACAGAGATAGTCCAACCCTTACATCTTTGTTTAGGTTATATAAGACAAAAAAATAAAGGCTAAAACAAATGCTATGACTCCAGTTGGTGTAAATCAACATGTACATCATCAGGTTTTAATCATCAGCTCATGCCAAATGGTTTACATTGAAAGATTCCTGCCAGGACAGGCTGTGAGCGTAAAGGGAATAAAATCATTCAAAAATAAATTCCCTTTCAAATTTTGCTCTAAAACCTTATTTTTAATTTCTTCTTCCTCGCCCCCAATTCAATCTCATCTCAGAAACATTAATTTATTTAGAAAGAGAAATTAATCACGGGCATCTCTAAAATCCTGGGTGATTCCAGTCCAGTCAATTTTTGCAGATTTTGCCTCTCCTTAGAAAACACGGTGATATTAAATACAAAACCCCACACACTGAAAGAACACTAACACTTCTGAAACAAGATCTTGAGCTGAAGTTAAGAAATTGCTATAATTAAACTTGTCCAGGAAGACAGATTAAGGTCAAATATGTCTATTAATTTTGGGTATCCAGTGTAAGCCACCTTAGACTTGATGTTTTCCCTTCGAAGCGCAGCGCTTCCCAGGTTTAACAGGCTGCCGGCTGGCTTTGGGGCGGTGCCCGGTGCCCGGAGCGGTCCGGCGGGGCCCGGCCACAGTCCAGGCAGTCAAAATTCAGTCACAGGGAACGCTTTGGGCTGGGAGGGCCTTAAAGCCCATCCAGTGCCACCCCTGCCATGGCAGGGACACCTTCACCATCCCAGGTGCTCCCAGCCCTGTCCAGCCTGGCCTTGGGCACTGCCAGGGATCCGGGGGCAGCCCCAGCTGCTCTGGGCACCTGTGCCAGGGAACAGCACCCTGCCAGGATCCCTTCCCAAGATCCCATCCATCCCTGCCCGTCCGGCGAGCAGCGGCACCAGCCTGCGAAGCCACAAACGCTACAGCGAGGGCGGCAAGTGTCCCTGTGCCGGACAGTGACCCCTGTGCCGAGTGTCACCTGCCGGACAGTGACCCCTGTGCCGGACAGTGACCCCTGTGCCGAGTGTCACCTGCTGGACAGTGACCCCTGTGCCGAGTGTCCCTGTCCCGCAGTGACCCCTGTCCCGCAGTGACCCCGCTGTCCCGGACAGTGACCGCTGTCCCGCAGTTACCCCGCACCCCAAGTGTCCCTGTCCCGGACAGTGACCCCTGTCCCGCAGTGACCCCGCACCCCGAGTGTCCCTGTGCCGGACAGTGACCCCTGTCCCGGACAGTGACCCCGCTGTCCCGCAGTGACCCCTGTCCCAGACAGTGACCCCGCTGTCCCGCAGTGACCCCTGTCCCGGACAGTGACCCCGCTGTCCCGCAGTGACCCCGCTGTCCCGGACAGTGACCCCTGTGCCGGACAGTGACCCCTGTCCCGGACAGTGACCCCGCTGTCCCGGACAGTGACCCCTGTCCCGGACAGTGACCCCTGTCCCGCAGTGACCCCTGTGCCGGACAGTGACCCCGCACCCCGAGTGTCCCTGTCCCGGACAGTGACCCCTGTCCCGGACAGTGACGCCCCGCTCTCTCCGTTATCACCGCCACCTCTCGCTTTGAACAAAGGCGCCGCTCCCGCATCCCGCCCCACACAAAGGCGCCGACCACGGCACCGCCACCGAGGGCAGCCAGGGGTTAAAACCGAGATCGCAAACAAATGTTTTTATAATCAACGCTTACCGCAAGAGACGCTCACAAAACTGAGAAAATGAAAAAGAATCATTTTCTGCAAATAGCA